TTGTTAAGTACATAACTCCACATGTGTTCATTCATAGTTTTGATGCCTTCAGTGAGAATCTACAATGTAAACAGTCATGAAAATAAAGAAAACGCATTGAATGAGAAGGTGTGTCCAAACTTTTGGCCTGTACTGTATATATATTCACTGTACTTAAAAATCAGGTGTGTTTTTTGAACTTGACACATTTGCGAGTCACTTACAGTCCATTTAGAATGAACCTGCGACCCACCAGTTGGGAACTACTGCTCTAGATCAACCTCTCCTAACTGCAGACGTTCGTCACTGTCACTTTTAATTCAGCCGTCAAATCATGGTGGAGGAGGAGCAGAAAAAGATACCACAAAGACCAACTCACATTTTACATGGACAGGTGATGAGCAACAACAGCAATGGAGGAGAAATATGTTAATATCTCTCAATTTAGCTAAATAGAAAGATTTATTTCCTCTCGTAAACCCTCATTTCTTTCCCTATGTGCTTCAGCCTTCCCTTCATCCAGAGCAAGTTCTCTACCTTGCGCTGGAATTTTCACTTCCGCTGATATTCCACATCATAGCAACCAGTGCAACCAAAGCATCTCAGCTGAAAAACCACTGCGCCTCAAAAGCGCTCTCAAGCACTCCAAGTTGGGAGGAGCGCCTGGTGTTTTCAGCTGGGAAAAAAAAGCGCTTCGGTGGACACAAGGCCTGAGGCTGTACTGCTGCATGTGTAATAATGAGCATTTGTTGGCTTTTTTTTTTTTTTTTTTTTTTTTAACAGATGTCAGTCTTGTGCGTCTGTCACATAGATTCATGGTCAGCTAGTTTTGGACTTCCTGTGCGTTCTAGTAGTCAGGAATCGATTAATGCAACTCGAAGTCAGACAAACATAACCCAGCAGGAAGGTTTAAGTGCCTGTGGCCTCACACATGTACTCTAGAGTTCTTGACCAGACACTGAATCTAAATTTCTTGCAGCGCAGTTGCACATTTGAACTTCCACTCTCATAGCACTGAAGAGGGAAAAGATCAATAGCAGGTCAAGAAATATCACAAAAAGACAAAATAGCTCAGATTCAAACTTGACTTTTGCAAAAAAACAAAAGTAAATCTGCCCCTGTCGGTCTGTCATACTGCATTTTTTAAATTTTTAAAAAAAACTCTTTTTGGTTGCAGAACTGTGTTGCATAATAAAAAAAGGCAAATATTATGACTGTCTGGGGTTGAACCTTCAAAATGTCAAATACTTGAAGTTATGAAAAACCGTAGTGCTTCTACACTTGACTGAATTGTATTTTGACATTATCCACCGGCTTGTTAAAGGATTTCATCAGCCCGAGAAAGTTGGAATTTCAAATCCACAGTGCAGCATATTTTCTTCAGTTTAAATAAACCCCTAAAAATCCCCTCAAATTGAAGTTACCAGGAATTTCACACAACACAGAGCATAACATTCAGACAATGTAGCCTGACAGAACAATAGAAATTGATTTCAGACGGTTATTCGAGCGCACCTCTTGAAAAAGAGCACAAGTGAGTCAAACACACCGTGGGCTATATCCTCTTACCTAGTCGACTCTCACCTTCCAGTGTTTCCATGTTTAGTGATTCATTCATGCAGGTGCTGCCAAAGGAGACCTCGTGGGGCAACTGACAGCCCTGCTCGATGCCATTTCTTGTGAACCAGCAACACTCACATCCACTGTCAAGCTGGAACACACAAAGGATGTGTAACCATGATGTCTTTGAAAACATCTCTGCTTTTAAAATCTGTTTTTGAAACCTCTGAGACTGTTTCATGGTTTCTGTGCCTCACTCTAAAAAAAAGGAACAAGAGTACAAGACTACAGCCATGTTTGCAGCTCTGTAAGGCTTCATGTACTCATGATGCTGTGAGCTAAATTCTAACGTTGGGAATCAAAACTGAAATCAGAACACACAAGCACGATACTCATATATGAGTGCAATTAAATCCCCCTCCCGCCTTTCTCAAGTTGTCAGCTCCTAAATCAGCTTAGAAAAAAGATGCTTCTTATAACTCCAGAACTTGCCTTGCCAAAATTCCTCCAAGTGGATAGTGGTGACATCTCGCCGACTGCAGCCAACCTCCCTCAATCACCCTTCTCACCCTGAAACAAGTACATGTGGTTTGGAGTCCAGTTTATCTCCTGCATCGCGGTTTGTACTTTAGACATCTCCTTTATTTTACTGTCTCATGTTCACTTTCAGTCAGCTTTGTGATAGTCTGGCCACCTGTAGAGGGTGTACCCCACCTCTCACCCAACATCAGCTGGGATAGGGTCCACCAATCCCACAAACCTGTACTAGGATAAGCAGTTATATGAATGAATGAATGTTCACCTTCAGCTGTAGGGGTCTTGTTAAGTTACTGCTGATGAGAACCCAACATTTCCTTGTTTTGCTGCTTCACAATGAAAGCTTTTACATAACAAAATAACGTGGGACTTTTGTTGTGAAGACTCTGTAGGTATTAAAATGTGTTTATCACCGAGTGAGCAAAACTTTGTAAGTGTCTTTTCTTTAATTAATACTACTACTGATACCGCAGGGAGGAGGAGTAAAAGCATGAACAGCCACAGTGAGATGATGATGATAAAGAGCTGCTGACGACAGGCTCTAACTGCACCTCTGCAAACCTCCAACAGGTAAACTTCTTTTACCTGCCCTGCTGTGTGATGGAAAAGCACTTGCAGCAAAATAATGAGGGACTTATGTGACGGATCAGCCTGTGGCTTTTAAACGTCATCACTCAAGACAAGACGTCATCACTTAGCCCATAAACACACCTTCAAGCGGGTAGCCATACTGTAATGGAGACACAAATCCCTGCCACGCACGAGTGTGAAAAATGGTATTTATGCATGATGGCATAATTGTCAGGACTGAGGACAGAGACCATGTCACTCTCCAGGGTGTGTGTGTGTTTAGAGAGAGACAGAGAAAGGAGGAGAGAAGGTGAGCTATTTCACACATCTATAAGATACTAAAAACATACACAAAACGCTGCTTTATCACTTTATTTTCCACCCACCCAAACAGCCAGTGATATTTTCTAGCATGACTAATCACAAGTTATTAGCTGGCATGGTTCCTATTAATGTGAACTGCAGTGCCAATAGTCAGCCGTTGGTCAATGTCTGGCCATTGGCGGGCGTCTGTCACCCTAGTTGGTGTAGTGTGTCCTGCACCCTTGGCCCTCCTTGGTCCCTGTCGGCTGGTATGGAGAGTTATTACCTCTAACGCAGGCGCAGAACGTGCATGCTGGTTGAATGCGTAGTCTTTGCGGTGTGTTAATGTGCAACTTCTTGGCCTAGACACGACAATGTTAGACGAAACAGCAGGGGGCCTTCACAGTGCTCTGAATTCGGTTCGGTGTGTCTGGGCCTTTAGTGTAGTGTTTATCTTAAAAGTCCATAATGCTTTTTGTAAAATAATCAGAATAATTATTACAGATATTTTAATTATAAAATACTGTTGGTATTTGAATCCTTAGAAAACTGTGTGAAAAAATGTGTGTAATATGTGAGTGAGGGGGCCAAAGCACACACAGCAAGCACCAGCAGCGACCCACTGTCCAACACCGGCACACCGTGGGGACGGAAACGGAGAGCTTGGCGGGGACGGAGCACCTGCTGCAGCAAGCGAGCACGCCATCTGTTGTCATTTTGACTTGACTAGTGGACTTCATCATAAGTCGACTGACTTTAGGAAGAGGTGATGTGCTTCACCTTCCAAAACACGCCACCAGTGATTTGACCAGTTGAGTTGCAGGTGACAGCATCGCGTTCTAAAACGGTTTTGTCTCGTGGTGAATCAGTGGTCTGAACTGGGCTTTCGTGTGCATTGATTCAGTTCTATTTTCTTACCTAAAAACAAATCCCAAATAAGAAAACATTAATGAATGTCAGAATCTTCTTAAAAATTACTTAAGTGGTTTTTAAGAAGAAATTTCTTCTGAAGAGTGGTTGGTGAATGAGGCCCAGTGAGAGCATAAGACACAAGTTGAGGAAAGAGACAAGCAACGCTGTGGCGCTTTCCAAGGTGTGTGTGTGTGTGTGTGTGTGTGTGTGTGTGTTTGAGAGCAAGAGAAAGAAAGTGACATAGAGCGGGGAAGAGATGGTTTCTATAAGTAATTAACCTAATAACTTACTCGGAACGCTGCTTTGTCACTTCCTGACTTTCCTAGTTTCCAATAAGCACCCCCCTGAAAATATCTCAGAATGAAGTTGCTGAGATATTTAAGTCCCAACTAAAGCAGCCAACCGACCGAACTTCCCTAGACCCCAGCGGCGCAGCGTCGATGTGTGTCGATTCATCCGCCTGCAGACACATCAGTTGATAATCTAGTGCCATTTCATCAGGATCCTTGTGTGACCCTCTGGAACATTATACCATTGTTTCTGAGATCATTTCAACCCTCCCTGGTTCAGACAGTCACTCCCATGCGTGGGAGACATGTCCCTGGCAGAGTGGTTGATGATTGAGCTCGTAACTGTTTTAAGCACTCACATGGGCCCACAGGAAGAAGATGCATCACCCATCAAGCAGCTCATTCAGCAGAGGAGGGCTGGGTGGAGACGGGTGAGGAATAAAATGAGGCTCCTTTAACAAATTCAGAAGTGGATAGAGGAAAACTGTATATCACTTCTCCCAGTCTGCCCTACTTACTATGATTGTCCCATCTCCTCCTCTGCCTCTCTGCTCTCTTGACCTGTCAGTTAGAAATATTGAGGCTGAACGATCTACAGCTCTTCGATCGTCCTTACCTCTCCAACTCCTTCTCCTTGTCATTCTATGGCCATTTTATTCCTTCTTTTATTACTTTTTTCCTTTCGTTCCCTCTCACGCTGTGGTGTCGGCTGCCTCTCCCCTTCTTTTCAATTTATACTTCATTCATTCTTCACAGACAGATGCTTATTATCTCCCTTGTTGTCATTTCCTCTTCTCTGATAAATGGTGTGTTAAATAACTTCTCTTTCTTCCCTTTGTGTCTCCACAGTTCTTCATCCTCCTTCTGCTCATCTTCTTCCTAGAGATTCTGTCCATCATGCTTTTCTTCATCTACCAAGACGAGGTAAGACACCTAAATTGCTCCCAGCATGTTATATCCTGTGATTTTCTCCACCTGATCAAGATAATAAGTGGCTTGTGGCAAAGCCCTCCATATGTCATGCAGATTGCTGAGGCTTTAGAAAAAAAGCCGGCATGTAAAATGATGCATCTCAGCAGCGAGGATGTTTTGAAGCTCATACAAGCAGTGTTGTTTTTGTGGATCAGAAAAAAGCATGTCAGCTGACAATGTGCATAAACTACGGTTTAATAAACTGCCTGAAGTTTTTTTTTTTTTTTTCTGAGATGATTCATGCATACACATCTTTGGGGAGATATCTCCAGGCTATGGTTGGAGAAAACACACCGTCCACAATTTCCGTTCCTTGTTAATAAATCTCAATTTATCTCAGCTCATCCATTTTGGATGATTTCCCCTGTAAATAAACAAGTCAGGCAAGAGACAAGAAGCGGATGAGCTATCCCTCTCCTCATATGAATTCATAATCCCTTCACATTTTTAGCTGAGGTTTTAATAATGCATTAAAAGGGAATGTTAAATTCCGTCCATCTTAATCTTAATTAACGGTTTGGGGGCTGGATTTTGGATTTGTGAATTTAACAAAAGGTACAACATATTATTGTTACATGGCACTGCAAATATTAATCCCCAAAGACTCGGCTGTAACCAGTGACAACGTGTCTTCTATTCTGTCCACAAACATCTATCAACAACACAAGAGCAAACATCATCTTAATAATGGGTATTAGTTGGACACTGAAGGGAATTACATTCCCAGAACGAGTCTCTATTGATGCTACGAATGACTCAAAAGTTTTAAAACACAGTCCAAGTGCCTTCTAAAAAAAACTGTGCCAAGGCCCTTGAAGATTATGTTATCTTGTAATACAGAGCTGCTGCTGCTGCTGCCACAGTCAGAGGACGACTCTGACTTTTCACATAAACAATTAAAAATACAATCAAATCTCAACAAAAGAGAGTCTGATGTTATTGAAATAGAATCAAAACACCAAAACATGTACTGTTGTGTTTTAATCTGTTTACAAGTTAAATTTGATTGCAGACAACACAGCAAACAGTGACAACAACAACAGCAGTGAAAACAAATGATTTCACAGTTGAGTCTTTATCAATTATCATTTAAATTACCATTTTAAATTTGGCATGGCACTTAAGACTGCAACTAATATTTGTTTTCACTGTAGATTAAGCTGCTGATATATTTTCCTTAATGATTAATGGTTTTAAATAATAAAAAATAAGTTTGCAAAAAAGGAAAAGAAAGAATTTTACCAGAGCATAAGGTGACATAACATCTTTAAATTATTTGACCACCATCGCAAAATTCAAAGATATTCATTAAATCAAGCTTATTTGAGTAAATTGAGCAAATCGTCATGTTATGGTCCAGCCTGAGAATATATGAGCATTTCTGCACTAACAATGACTTAAAAGTTCAGTGTGGGGATAATAACGATTAATCAATGACCAATTAATCATTAAGAATTTTATCAAACATGAAATTTAATCAATTCACATAAAGATCTGATTCTGAAATATAAATTACTGTCGTCTCCTATTACATTCTGGAGAATCAGTAGAATGGCGTATTTTGAAAGTATGTTTCAATGACAAGAAAAAGCAAAAAAAAAAGGGCACAATATAACTATTTCATGACAAGGCGGCCATGTTTGGGTCTGGAAGAAGAGCGCGGCAGTGACACTGGAAAATTAAGCTTCCAGATTGAAGCATTATTCAGTTATATTCAATGTTATTCATTTATCTAGGCCTCTACATCTGTATATGTTTCGTGGGCTTGCAATGCTGTCGATGAATATGCAAAATGTTGCTGTGAGCTTTGATTGAGGAAAAATGCATTTTGGTATCGTTTAGTATACGCAAAGTTTTTTATGTTGTTGTTTTTTCTAATCACTTTTGAGCGATTAATTGGTAGGACTTAGGGTGGTATATTGGCAGAAATGGAATATAATACAATGAGTGTGTTTCTTTTAGTGAATAATCACCTGAAAATCGTGATTTTTTACCTTAGAATGAGCCGTTTCAATCTACATACAGTTTGCCATGTTGCACCACCATGTTTCTCCAGTAGCCCAGAACAGACAAACCAAACACTGGCTCCAGATAGCGCCACTCATGAATACATGTCGGCCACTGTAGTTAGCAGCCCCAAAGTGAAGAGCAGCATCAGAGAAACACAGATTTGTAAACATGAAACTGCTATATTCAGTGTTTTTACCAGTTAAAATAGCCAGGTCTGTTTGTTTGGCACCCAGTAAAAACCTCCTGAACGTCTGGATCTTAATTTATCAGAATAGAAAGGTGCACACATCACACATCAGCAGGTGCTTGCTGAGCTGGCGGCCAGTCTCCGACAAGCCATACTGCATCAGAAGCCCCTTTTACACTGCCAGATTTTCCGTGAATGTTGGGCCGTTTTGCTGGCCAGCTGCGAGTGTTTATACACACAGAGGCGGAAAGGCGAGTTGATCCGAGGTGCCCAATTTTCTGGCATTTTGCCGCACTCCCCGATTTTGTTTTCATACTGCCAATGCTGAAAGAAGACTGATTGGGCTTTCCTGCAAATTTGCACAATTCCTATCTAAAAAGAGCTAGAGAAACACTGAACTGTAACATGGAGCTGCTTCATTCTGTGTTGTCAGCAGTCCAAATCACCTGGTCCATTTGTCTAAGAGAGGAAGAGACCTCTAGGGATAATCAGGCCCCTTCCAAACTGAGAACACTAAAGGAATTCTCACAGGGAAGTTTCAGCTTGTTGTAATCTGCAATCCTCACAGCTGAATGCCACTAAATTCCCCTAAATCTCACACACTGTTCTGTAAAATAACCAACCATAAAAACATGTTGCAGATTAATTTACCTTTGATCGACTAATTAATTCAATCAACCAGTTGTTTCAGCACTAACAGAATGTTTTTACTAAGCGAGGACTTGATAATTTAACTGACTTGATTTCAGACATTTCTTCATCCCGATGCAGGACCCGAGTATCCTGTAATCAGATGAAATAATAAAATGAACTAAAAATATGCAGGTGCTGTAATTCAATTCAGAGAACATTATACTGGATGGCCTCTAGAGGCACCTAATATGATAGTGGATTTGAAACGTAGAAAAGCCCATCATAAATCATTGGCAATTTCTAACCACTTGCAATACATTATTCATGTGTTGGGGCAGAGAGTGTATCCCTGAAGACTTGAGCCAAGGCCAACCCTGACTCTAATGCTTTTGTACATTTTGGTAAATAACATCCTACTTTGATATTTCCCCACTTTCTGTCTGAATCCTACTCATGACCAGAGACCTTGGACCTGCACATTCCATGTAATGGCTTTTTTCTCTTTGTTATTCTAATTTCGGCATGATTATATAATTGCCTAATGTGTTGTATTTCCATCTCAGTTTGTCTTTGGCGGTGTAACCTGATGAGTATTTCTGGACTGGCACGTTCTTCTGGGCTTTCAGCCAATCAGTGCTGCTCTGCTAATGAATGTTGTCTTTTTGTCACGCCTCACCTCTCTCTTAGTATCTGTGCTCCCTGATGTTCAGTACACCCCATTATTCAGCCTCTGAATTATTCAGTTTCATCCACCCAGGAGGCGATTAGCGACAGAATGCAGTAAAAAGTTAGTGATGGTGTAGATGTTCTGCAGAGCTGGTGCAGCAAGGGAAATCGCTCACAGTAAAAAATGGGTGGCCATTATCAGTACTACCATTGATAGTTTTTAAAACAGCAGGGACTTTGTTTAACAAACCCAGTACAGTACGACAGCACAAAGGATACTTCACAACAGGGGTCACTTTATTCTGTTGCACAGAAAGGAATTTTTTGAACTTGTGCAGATTAACCAAACATGAAAAATCACTGTGGTATTATGTTTCTATTAAGGTAATGTACATGGCATCTCACTACAAATGGTATTATTGACCCAAGTATTAGGAATTATTCTGAGGGTACAGTTGATTATCTTTATTGAATAAAACCTTTTTCTCCACTCTATTTAAACTTGCACTAGCAATTGTAACTCCAAAAAGTAGTAATATTAATGTTTTTTGACCTACCACTATCCCTATAGTTAAGATTTGGTTATGTGTAGCCGGGAACTGCCCATTAGTTTGACAGCCCATTGTTCTGACCATATTAAAGTCATTGTTCCGAAGTCCGTTCCGAAATCATCATGATGCCCTGTGGTTAAGGTCTGGTTAGGTTTAGGCACAAAAACCACTTGGTTAGGGTCAGGAAAGGATCATGGTGTGGGTTAAAATGAAAAAGAAAGTGACAAACATAAGCCGTGAGCCTGCTCCGCCTCAAGCCGGTCGTGGCGCACCATACGCCCGCCGCGAGCCGTTCAGCACCGCGGACAGTCGGACTAATGGGATGTTGAACCAATGGGCTGTCGAACCAATGACATGGACCCGTGTAGCCACTAAGTGTAGCTGTCTGATAGGTTAGCAAACCCTAAGTCAGATATTTTAACAACCTGTTCTCACAGAAAGGCAAGGCAAGGCAAGTTTATTTGTAGAGCACAATTCGTACACAAAGTAATTCAAAGTGCTTTACAGTGCAAGAAAATGCATTAAAATCACAATTCAAAATAAAAACATAAATAATCATTATAAAATGAACTTTAAAAGAGAAGGGTGCAGATAAGATCCTTTCAGTCATATGCACAGTGAAATAGAGCTGTTTTGAGCCTAGATTTGAACATTGTCAGAGTAGAGGCCTGTCTCACATCTTCAGAAAGACTGTTCCAGATTTTAGCTGCATAAAACTGGAATCCTGATTCCCCATGTTTAGTCCTGACTCTGGGCACCAGCACGAGGCCGGTCCCTGAGGTCCTCAGAGTCCGAGATGGTTCATATGGCACTAACATGTCAGAGATGTACTTTGGTGCTAGGCCGTGGAGAGACTTGTACACAAGCAGAGCTGCTTTAAAGTCTATTCTCTGAGCCACAGGAAG